ACACTAATTATATATATATATATATATATATATATATATATATATATATATATATAACTGATAAAATCAAAGGAAAAGAAAACAACATTACTAGAGAGCAAAGTGAAGCAAGGTGGATGGAATTTGGTCATGAGTGGGCGTATGACATAATGTGGGTGGGTGGGTGGGGGGTATGTAGGTAAGTGTACGTTACAAAAGGTCACTATGAACTAGAAAACATACATGCATGCATATGCATACGCGCATAAAGCATCGTGTACGTGACACAACAACCGACCACTATTATTACATTTTTTTTTCCGAAATTCAAACACTTGTATACAATTAACAGCAACAAAACAATTTTATTATGTCTCAAATACAAATATTCAATCATTCAAAAAGTAGACTGTAAAAATAAAAAGTACGTGTGTATATGTAGGTGTAGGTGTATTTCAGTGAAAATGCGTGGGTGAAAAATTTATGCATTTGACTGTGACATAAAGAAGAAACATTGCTTTCTCTTGTATCATCGTCATCATCATCCACACATGCATACATACATAAACCTAAATACATATATATCACACACCTGTATAAACAAGTACACACCGAGTTATCAGAAAAAAACAGTTAAAATCAGTTACATTGAATAGAAATGTTAATGCATTGGATGTGTTGTAGTAACACAATAATGATGAGGATAATTATTATCAACATTGATAAAAAAAATAAAATAAATGGATAGATATAGTAATAAAAACAGAGAAACAATGAACAAACAAATGAATAAAAAAGGAAAGCAACACAAACTATTTCCTTTCCGTTTTTTTACAGATACTAAAAAAATCTATAAAATATTTTATGTTAAAAAGCATTGCAAAAAATAAACAGTGTTTCTAAAATTCACAAACGCAGTTAGGCAGTCAATAACAATCAACACAGAGCCCTACACACGTGTGTCAACCCAGGTTACCAGAATACACCAACACAATGAGATGATTAACAAGTGACTAAAAATAATTCCGGCCTATGCTCCTCCACGAGTAGTAACAGGCGTAATTAAGTAAGCAAGGAATAATTCAGTAACAATGATGACGGGAATCATCTAGCATATACAACTAATACACGCTCGCATCAAGTTTAACGTAAAGTGTGGCAAATGAATATGTATTCTATGACTACGTTTTCTGCTTTATATGTTTGCAATTATGGTAAGATTTGAAAAAAATTGCAAGCTTCGTTTTGGTAATTCAGTCAGTTAGCTACAACGTGGGACCAGGCACATATATGCATCGGTCCAAGTTGCCATACCTCATTAACACAACAAGATGAACACCGGATTCATAAAAGTAGTTAATTCAGAGGTGGTGATATATAAAAGAAAGATTGCATATCAGAATATAGTACAGGAAGGAAGAATTAGTTCGTAGAAAGATATGAAGCGATTTTTATCTTACGGTTTAAGGGAGGACAAAGAGTGTATACACCGACGCCATTGTGATCGATTCTGAGTCATGTCACACAGAGTCTCTAACCATTGGTTACGACAGTCACGCGTACCCCAAACCAGTAGTATGCGTCTACCAACATGGCTTAGACCAGAAGTCAGTGACTTCAAGGACTGATGCCACGTTTTGGTTTGGCCATCCCTAACTTTCTTCCAACCGTCTCCAGAACTAGTCAGCATTGCGTGTCATGGTAATCGGTGTTTAGACATACCTAACACGTGGCCCAACCACCTCAAACAGTGAAGATTTACGACCTCATCAACTGATTTCCCACCGTTCCCTAATACCCTGCGTTTAACCTCAATATTACTTACCCGACGATCTCAGCAAATGCGAGCAATATTTCTAAGACATCCGTGATCAAACACTAGTAACTTACGAGTATCTCTTACTCTTGATGGCTACGATTCGCAGCCTTAAAGTAGAACAGAACAAACTGCTGAGCAGCATACTCGTCCTTTTATCGATGGACAGATATCTTTCCTTCACCTTAGGTGACGTAAGTTATCAAAAGCCAAACGAGCTTTTCAAATCCGTGGTAACTATTTTAATAATAGCTTGTTTAAGATTGTTTTGCACCTATTTTATTGGTTCAGAATTGATTCTCTTTAGTTTCTTATACTAATTAATCTTGTTTTATAATATCAATAGTTTTTATTTTCTGAATTGTGATTCTAACTGATTTCTCTATTCATCTGAATTTTAGTCATCTATTCATTGTTTTTCAAAATAATTCCATCCACTAAAGTTCACACATTTTGAATCATATCGATTTTGTCAAGTATTTTGTATGCAATATTAATGTTGCTTTTTATACTAAAAAGGCATAATACTATGACGTTATATACTGGTGAGTATTTCGTGTTAGTCAGGTCAAATTAAAATTAGAAACAGTATAGTCAATCAATTATCGATTGTGTACCGACCAAATTGCGACACTTTGGATCATCATTGAACAACTGATTGAATAAAGTTCGTCATCATTGTTATAACTTTTGGTCTATTAATGTATAACGTAATGATACCGCTAATTAGAGAACAGTGAATTATCGACCGAACCAATGACGCATAAACCTGTACGAGCAGTCTAGAGTCTTTGCCGGTCCTGCTTCCTGCCTAGCCCTGTCTGTTAATTCCAGAACACCAACCTCAGCCTCTGCGATATGAATCATGTATTTCGAATGTATTGGGTTTATATACAAACCAAACAGAACACGTCGCACCATAAAATGGAAATAACATTTGTAAAAGATTTAGCCAAATGCAACTGTGAATGTGGAAGAGAGTAATTGATAGACTGAGAATAACTCAAGAATGGTAAATGGTATAAGAATAGTTCATAGGTCAAAATAAAGCTTATAATAAGAGGAACACGAATATGAATAGTTTAGTTACTTAACAATTATACAATAAAAATATATGTATAGTTTATTTATTTATTTATTTAAACACATAAATACTAATACAAGGGTGCACTAGATACATATGCGCCACACAAATCTCATTTGATTTGTGTGAGGGCTGTGATACTGCCCGGTTGCCTAAACCGAAGCAGGTGTTTTTCTTAGGAGGCCACACCCGGAGCCTTCGACCTAAAGGTCTGATCCACAAGGCAGTGGGGCAACGTTGGGAAATGCAGTCCCATGGTAGCCGGTGACCGATGATTGGTTCATACGCCATTTGTTCCTTCAGGACACTGGAGCCCATGTGCACCATTGGTTTGGAATCAGGGTTTACCAACTCCCCTAGGTGGACTCTCCGTGTCCACCAACCCGGTCAAAGCACCGGACATTCGCTTTTCGTCCTCTCAATTCCGTAAACAACACCCCCACCACGAGAAGGCAGTGAGTAGTTCTTCCTTGGCAGAGGTTATATATGCGTGGCCATGTGAGAGCATTTCGAGAGGAAGAGTGGACTCTCCCCACTCCCCGCCGTGCCAGGGCAACTACACATCAACTTCCTCGACTATGAGAAAGCATTCGAGAGTGTAGATAGGAAAGTTTCGTGAGATGTCCCTTAACATTATGGAGTACCTGTCAAGATTGTCACCATCATGCGGAAATCTTACGAAGAATGATATTAGACAATAATTCTTACTCTAGCCTTTGCACTTTCTTCTGGCTGTCGACTGAATTATAAAGACATCCAAATCTCAAGGGGAGCACAGAATTTAGTAGACATCTTAGGCCTAGTTGAGCAATTTGGACCTCGTATATGACCTATACCTTTTCTCTCATACACACTAACAAGTAGAAATGAAGACAGATAGTGGGGCAGCAACCTCTTCAGCAGTAGGCCTCAATATACACAAGGAAAAAGCAAGATATATCGCAACACAGAGAACAACACAATCACACTTGATGGAGAATCTCTGAAAGAGGTGAAAACTTTTACATACCTGGGAAGTATCGTTGATGAACGAAGGCGATCTGATGCAGACGTAAATGCACAGAATGGCAAAGCGAGAGCGGCATTTCTGCATATGAAACTCGAAACAACTGTCAGCCAACATCAAAGTCAGAAGTTTAAGTGCAAATGTCGAAACAGTTTTATTGTGGGGAGCTGAAACTTGGAGAACTGCTACAACCATCATCAAAAAGTGACAGGTATTTATAAACAGCTGTCTAGGCAAAATACTCTATATCCGTTATCCAGACACCATGAGAAATAACCCACTGTGTCAACGAACAGACCGGCTCCCATGAGAGCAGGAAATTAGGAAGAGACGCTCCAGACGAGTAGGTCATGTTATACGATAATCATCAGACTATATCACGAGTCAAGCACTGGCTTGAAATCCTCGAGGTAAAGTGAAAAGAGGCGGACAAATGAAAATATTGTGTTGTGAATCGAAGTTAGACATCATCGAAGTGAGTATCACTTGGGAAAAGACTGAGAAAATGAGCTCATGACAGAGTTTGTTAGAGATCTCTGATCTGCAGCCCATTCCTCGCTAGAGTTGAATGGCGTAGGTAAGTAAGAATCAATATTTTCGGTTCTGGTATGAATCACTCGTGGTTTCAAAAATGCCCGAATTCAGAGGGCTGTATTTTCTTAGATCATAATTACTGTCACTAATATGGTAGCTAATCTGTTAATCGGCTCGTTCTCATACTGGATAACTGACTTCATTATTAAATAGTTAATCACTGGTAATTTTCATCGTCGTTGTTTATCATAAATTACTTGGACTTGAATATTACCGAACGGAATTCTCTCATTTGCTTTATAGTATTGTGATTACCATAAAAATCAAGTCTTGCTGATTTCGACATTTTGTCGAAAACTTTAATTAATACTGCTACTGAGTATCAAATTTTTGGAAGAAAAATAAACAACGCTTGATTGTCTCGCTGATTTTCGAATGGTTCTCGAGCTGATATCAACCGATAACGAAAAGGATTTTTAGATTTTAGCAGTTTTATTGTGTCTATTGTTGATCTTTTTCTATAGTTCTGTTTCTTCATTCCTAATTATCTAGGTAATCTCTTTTATTTACTTTTTACATAGATTTCTCAACTCGTGTTATATTACCTGTTATCAACAATGATATAACTTCCAGCTATATTAATGCAAATTATATTAAAGTAAGTCCAATTATATATATATATATATATATAGCGTCCTGTTCGTTTTGTACAGATAACTGGCAATAAAATATTCAGTTAACGCTCTTGCTAAAAGAGGGTGTCGATGAACTAACATTATTTTAATACTACTAAACAATTCTTTTCTTCGTAACCTAAGTGGTCCAGAAGCTAAATACTTGCAGCGAGACTAAAGGTCTTGCTTTCCATCCCAGGTATAGTCGTGGATGTTTATCTCCATTTTAGTGGGGCAGCGGCTCAGTGATTAAGACGTTTGAGTTTTAGACACTAATTTCTAGGTTCGAATACTACCCCGTCTGTTTCTGTTTGGGCAATCGGGCAGTACTATTAGCTCTTACGGTGAGAGTGTGGCTCATATTCGAATGAGTAATGTACCTGGTAAATGAGTTATTTATAAAAATTAAAATTGTTATTATATTTTATTATTGCTTTGAGTATATTCATCTGTCATGAACCTTTTTGCTGCTAATTGTATATTATTATAATGTTAATAACTATCGTTTAGTGCAACACGGATCATCATGCTCATTTTCGCCGTTGCGAATGTAGTGAATTCAAAATCAATGGATTTAATTAGTCTGATGTTATTTGACGACCGATCTATAGCGTTGAGTTGAGATGACTATGTTTGTATTACTGAAATTATTCTGTTTATTTGCAAAAAATTCATAGAAACAATATTCGATAAGCTTATGTCAGTAATAGTAATTCTTAGAGGTAAATTTTTAAATATCAGTAAGTGGTTGTGGAGGTTGTTGAATCTCAATGAAATCATGAACCAATCCAATTTTGACCACTATTTGAAAACCTGTAGGCACTAGACGGCCGTTTTATCGTAGTAGTGCACATCGACAAATTTCCACACGGGAATCGAAGCCTGGACCTCTTTTGCCCACTAGCGATTAGCTTCGAGAATAAATTTCTGAAATTCTAGTGAGAATCCTTGACCAGTGGAGCTTATCTGTGTCGTATGTGAGGCAGTTACCCATCCGAAGACAATGGGAGATGGTCGTACAATGTAGTGGATTGATTGAAGATATACATTAACACCGTTGGATGCTGACTCTGTGGTTTAGAGGTTAAGGATTTACACACGAGACCTACGGTCCAGGGTCCAATTCCCATATACGGGTTCGTGGATGCACACTGCTGTAGAGTATCATAATAAGACGGGTTAGCCGTTCAGTGCTCTCAAGTTCCCAATGATGATCTAACATTAATCGGTTCATAATTTAAATCAAATTTTTAAGTGATAATTAGATAAGGTACTATAAAGAAAAAAACATTAGATTTATCTCTAGTTTGACAAAATTCATATAATTTTGGAGCCATGTAAGTTTTTAAGATTTTTGTATAAATTGTGTAATCTATAATGATATTTACATATACCTTGAAACTTTAGCTGATTATTATCTGATTGAGCATTATCCATTTCATGCAAATGAATGAATAATTAAATAATTGTCTATAGTGTACAATTGTCGTTATACCATCTACTGATATCACAGTTGTTTTCACCTTGTATAATTATCTTACTTATGTATAATTTTATTCACAAGACATTTTTGTTGTCTATTCGGATTGTAGTTAAATTATCAACTAATCAATCAATACCGATATCCTTGAGAAATATTTCTGTTATGTGATCTTAATTCTAAGCATTTTATCTTTATAAATTCTCAGTATGCAACCGTTAAATAATTTTGTTCTTATTACTTTCTCGTTCATCCAGTTCATTTAACTTGAACATTATATTCGTAAACTTGATAAAAATTTTAATTGTTGACTAAAAATGTAACACTTTGTCATGTTAAATGTTATTGGTAATTGTCATATAAATATTGTTTTGTTTTCCAAAAAAATGTGAAAACCAATGTTGAATGGATGGGTACGAATCAATTTGAACAGGGTTATAAAAGTCGTCCAAATGCATTTATTGCTACTCAAGGTGTTATGCCACATACAATAAATGATTTTTGGCGTATGGTATGGCATTCTCATGCACCGACCATTGTTATGATTACGAAATTGGTTGAAAATAAAGAAGTAAGCTATCTCCTTTATATATAATTCATTCCTTATTATTACTTACATTCATATTCTAGGAAGTAATGGTTTACGTATGTTCACATACCAAAAATATATGCTGTCCATGTGTTGTTCCATATATTTCTAGAGCTTCAAACTATCAGAATTAGTAATTGCCTCAAGTTAGTATCTTCTCACTCGTGAAATCTAAACTGAAAGTCATAAAGCAGTGTAAAGCTGTATTATTAATAGTAGGGTTGAACAACTGTTGTTTTGAATACCAATTGAGGATCCTATAACCTATTGAAACCACCGATCAATGTGTACCAAATAACTCGAATTAGTATCAATTTAGTATTGTTTCACAATTATTATATGTTCTTCATCTATCTATCTAACCTAAACTAACCAACATTATTTTGAAAATAGTAATGTTAAGTGGAAGTTCTGTTTATGAGTTAGTTGGTAAAGTCCAATGTGTTTACTATGTAACAATAGATTAATTGTGATCAGAATGGGGTTTTTGAAGATTGTAGTAATTTTAATAATTGAATTCATGAGTCGATGTAAGCTAGACCACCATCGAAAACCTGAAAGCACTGGTCGGCCGTTTCGTTCTAATATGGGGCTCCCTAACAGTGCGCATCCACGATCCCGCACCCGGGATTCCAACCCAGGACTTTCGGTCTCTCACGCAATTGCTGAACCTCCAGACCACTGAGTCAGCATCCAATGGTGTTAATGTCTACCTTACATCGACTCATGAATTCAACTATTAAAATAAATTAATTATTTAATGTTTTCTAAATTATTATTTGATAATAATGAATACCACACTCCACCTACACACTGCTACTGTCATATAACAATGTTTGTTTGGTTCATGGATGATACCAATATTTTCTATTTAAATGAATGAAAATTGAATCTAGGTGGACCATACATCATCCACAAGCTGTGTGTTTTAAATATTTTTTTATCCACCTACGCATTTCCAGTTATTATTATTCTTTATATAACCGAATTGAATTTTGTATGTGTGTATGTATGCATGCACTTGACTCGAGTAGATTTTCCTTATGTTTTTAAAATTTTTTTTTATGTCGTCACGTTTCAACTTACATATCGATATATTGTGTCCAATGTTTATTTTGTATGTTATTGCTACCATACACGATTTTTGTGCAATTTTAAGTAGACGGTTTGTGTGTATGCGCGTATGTGTTGGTGTTGATTTGTGCTCGATTACATATATATAATAGTAGTTATGTTGACTTCTGTCACATAATAAATAAATAAATTCAGTCTTGTTCATTGAAAACTCAATTATTGTATTTTCTCAAAATATCGAATTTTGACGTTAAAGAGATTGATCAAATAAATATTGAACATAACTCAGCAAAAGTTGTTCGTTCATTTACTTGCACATTTTGTGTAACAATTGACTTGTTAATTTTTTGACAGAATTAATCCTACAGTATCAAATGATTATATTTCGGCAAAATAGGATCACCCATAAGCAAAGATGGATAGTGACTAGCAGTGGAATCCAGGATGCGAGTTTTGTCTTATTCGGGACTCGTCAGCTGGATTTAACTGCGCCCCAGAGCTACGGCGTTAAAATCAACTCTAGGATGCAGGTTCATCCAGCTGATGAGTTCCAAATAGGACAAAACTAAAGTCACCATATTTGCTTATAATGCTTGTGACCTAATTCAATATCGACGCAATCCGCATAGGATGCATATATGCCGATAAGAGACCAATCAATTGCACTTCTGAATATCAATGAGAAGATTCAAACAAACAATACAAAATGAATTAAAATCATACAAAGATTGATTATTTATATCCTTTTAGAGTTAAAGTTGTTTTAATTCAATTTGAGATGATTTGGATTATCCTGTTGTTGATATTTTTAACAGAAATTTGATCGATATTAGTTGGTATATGTACATACTGTGTCGATTACCTCGATATAGCAATTATTTCACAAGTTCATGTAGAATAGACAATCCTCACAGGATCAACATATTCGAACTAAGACTGTGCAAATTTCAGTTAAACATATCAACAACCTGACAATACAAACCATTTCAAATTAAATTAAAATCCATAATTGTTGCACAAGTGAGTGGCTATGTGGACTCAGTAGTTAAATGGATAACGTGATGGCATTTGAAGAGGACGGTAGTCAGTTCAAGTGTAGGGGTGAACATCAACTCTAAGATGCAGGTACGTGTAGCTAACGAGTTTCAGAAAGAACAAAACATGCATTCTGGATACCGCTACTAGCTACATTCCATCTATTCTATGATGGTATTCTGTTCAGATTAACTGTCTGACCAAGATATAATCGTATCATATCATATAATTACTTTGAGATGAGAATAAATGTCACCAAAGAGGCAGTAATCATTTAAATTCAGTTGTTATGTCTAGAAATATATATGTATATGAATAAAGTGAGAAAACGATATCATACCTCTAGTGTTAAATTAGTAATTAATGTATTTTGTACAATCATTGACTAGAACTAAATTTTGTTCACTAGAGTTTTCGTCACCTAAGTGTTCTTTTCCGCTCTTTGAGAATAAGCATGCAAGTAATTGTGCTATAAATGTTTTGGATGTCTTATTTAATTAATCTAATGGAATTCAAATTAAAGAATAACACAACTCTCATAAGCAGAGCTGAGTGGTGGGTAGCAGTGAAATGCAGGACACGCGTTTTGTCCTGATTGCGACTCATCGTCTGGATGTACTTTCATCTCTAGTTTGATGTTCACTTTGGGACTCGATCCACTACCGTTCACTTCAAACACTAATACGTTATCCACTTAGCTACTGAGTACAAATAACCACTGGTTTGTGCAATCGGGTGAATTTCTTTTTTAACTCGTATAGTATGATTGTTTGGATCTTCCCATTACTGTTTAGGACTGTGGCTGATCCTCAAAATTGATGTTTATTCATTTTCTGCTTGACTACTACGTGCATACGCACACAGATATATATGTACATATTTACATTGGTGTTTTAATTTTCTGTTGTCTTGTTTAAAAAAATGTAATTGATAAAAATGATTGTCAATTGTGATTACAAATTATCGAACTTCTAAGAAAAACATGCGAATAAATGCTGATGTACATTTTTATTCATTTTGTTTTTTCTCTACGCACAAATGTCAACAGTTAGAAACAATTGACGGCTGTAATAAAATATTTTCACCGCATTAGATTGCTATAATTAAGTGAATATTGCGAAAGTTGTAATTTTTGAAATTATCTTACGAAGAACTATTGTTTGTACTTTTATTGTATAAACATTAGGCACTTGCATTATTGAGATCCTTACATTCTCTTTTGCTTACAAACTTTCTTTGGGTGCATTAACTATTGTTCCGTATTGTGTCTTCCTTAAGTTATTGTTCATCTATGACAGTGTTGGTGTTCAGCTCTTTTTCGCTTATATTGTATTTATGTTTACATTGTAATCTTTAATTTATGTACGGTCAAGTAATAGATAGACCGATGATATTAAACGAGTTGCGAGTTAGGAACTGAACTATACAATAAAAGTTTGTCTACTTGCTGTGTTTTAGTCCTGTCAGGCAGAATAATGTGGGTAGCTGAGTCCTGGGGCAATAGGTGTTAAGTATTAATCATGGTCTTTATTTTACTGTCATTGGTCAAGAAACGTAATTGCATCTTTCATTGGCTAATACAAGGTCATTGGTCCACTATAGAGCAATCTGGGGGAATTAATCAATTATCGGGCTAGATAATACAACTGCTCTCATAAATACCAGTTCAATCACATCGGCCCCAATATAATTCAAGAACCTGTTCTTCTTCATCCTTACATAAAAGAGAATAGTTATTGTAACTCCCTGGTCGTGTTACATTCGGAAATATTGTTGTTGTTACATTCGGAAATATTGTTGTTACATTCGAACCCCAATGAGAATACAAGTAGTAAACTAATCCAATTGTTAATCATAGCAAAACTATGATTGAAAAGGAACATATATAATTTGATGTGGTCAGAAGCAGTCGACGGGAAACCCTACTCAACCTACATTTCAAGTTATTTAGACTAGGTGGTGGGCATACTGCAACCAGACCAATAGAATCCGACCGATACAAAAAAGGACAAGGACAAACATAAGACTGATCATACCATTCTGTAGCGATCGGTCATTTGTACAAACTTAGTAGAGTTTGTCTCTATCAAAAAGAAAATACTTTTCTCATACAATGTAATATAATACGTATTTAATTAAATATGAATCATCCACGTAATTCGAACAGAATGATTACTTCATTCGTTTTATTTTGTTATAGGTCAAATGTGAGTTATATTTACCTGATTCTTCTGGTGAAGAGGATGTATTATCATTTGTGGAAAGTCAATCATTTACTACTAGTCCATTATTCAAAAGTGGTCCATGCACACCTGATTTCGATGCTATGAATAATAATACTAATACTGCTACTACCAATAATAATAATAATAATCCTTTATCATCTGTAAATATTGTTGCAACAAATAGTACACAGATTACAAGTATTTCAACGAATCCATTATTACCAACTTTATCATCACCGTTCTTTTCACAGTCTTCAACATTATCATATCATTGTGGGCATTCAAATGATCAGTCCGATATTGATACAACTAATATTAGCTCACCTATTTCAACTGGTTCTATTATTGCTACTACTGAACCAACTGGAATTCTCCGCAGTGGAAAAGATATATCAAAACATTTACACGATAGTGGCATAGCAAGTGTAGATGACCAATCTTCAATAACAGATAATAGTAATGTAATATTTACTAACAATAATTATAAAAATAACAATAACATGACTGATAATCAAAACAGTGGAAAATTATCTAATGATCGAGGCATAAATTTTTATCAATCCATATCATTGCCTGGTACCAGCAAAACATTTGGAAATATAAGTGTTAGTGTGTTGTCGTTGGAAAGACATGATGGATATATAGTACGTCATCTGCGATTAAGTGTAAGCATCATTTTTGGTATATCTAGATTTATGTATATACATTAAATAAATTCCAGTGTACTTATTAAATAAATATTTGACCTTAATAGTTGAATTCATGAGTCGATGTAAGCTAGACCACCATCGAAAACCTGAAAGCACTGGACGGCCGTTTCGTCCTAATATGGGACTCCTCAACAATGCCCATCCACGATCACACATGTAGGACTCGCATCCAGGACCTTCGGTCTCACACGCGGACGCTTAGCCTCTAGACCACTGAGTCAGCATCCAATGGTGTTAATGTTTAACTTCAATTGATCCATGATCTTGTGCAACCATTCATCCATTGTTTGAGGCATATAACTATCTCTACCTGACTCGGATTGGACTCCACTGGTCACGACTTCTCACTAAAACTCCAGGAAATCTATCTTGAAGCCAGTCACTCGTGAAAATATGATAATCATTATTAGAACGGGTGTTTGTGGAGGTTGTAGTGATTTTAATAGTTGAGTTCATGAGTCGATGTGCTTCCAGGTTTTCGACGGTGGTCTAGCTTACATCGACTCGTGAATTCAACTATCAAAATTACTACAATCTCCACAAACCCCCATTTCAATAAAATATTTCATCATCTAATATGGTTCATTAACCAAGTACTAGATTATACACTTTACTTTGAGTTAGTTTTTTTCGTCTCGACTGTTGCTGCTACCTTGACGTGGTGGTCGGGCTTGCCCATCGTGATGAAGCAACCGAGCTATAGTGGTTGGAACAACCGTTCCTCAAGGTCCTACCATGCTAGACACTTTGGTTGAAGAGCGGTAAGTCTAAAAGCAACAAACTCAAGTTCCGAAGGCGAAGTCGTACTGCTGACTGTACAGAGGTGTGACAGCAGTAAGGTGTTTCCTTCAGATAACCAGCGTGACAGCGATGCTGCCTTCCCACGAGGATGGGGTTAGAAAAGGTCGACTCTGAAAATGCACACCTCGCCTTATAGATATCCGTCTCCGGCGGTAAGGCCTCAACAAGTGTGTGATCGGCCTCAAGCAGTTGTCCCTTGGGCACTGCGATCACGCCCTCGGGTCACTAAAACCACCTCTAAACCAATTTTTTTCAGGTACCTCCAGAAGAACCCTTCCACGATGTGGGCAACCGGGAAGTGATAATCTCCCTCATATCTATAACAGCACTCAAGACCACTGTATTATAATCATCCTCCCTCTTCAACTTCCTCTTTTGGATTCTTCCTCAATTGTCACCATAGCCAACGATTCTAGTGCGCAAAACACTGTCCCAAGTCTACTGAAACCTCGCTCCAAACTACACATTAGAAATTCAACGTACGAATCGGTCAGCAGGCCTCCTTGAATAAAACCCTAGAATTGATGTACGCTGTGTATCCGATACACGCATACAGGATCTTAGTGTGGTCATTCACTTGACTTCACCTTGCCAAAACAGAGAGCCGGCGAGATGCACTCTCGATGTATCTGGCTACCCGATGGCCAGTTCTCGTGGACTGGCAGGTGTAGGCATAGCACTAAGTGCGAGGGCGGAACAAGCATCATCTCCAGCATCTCCAGATCTTATTGTCGAAAGTTGGACAGTTTTTAATTGGCTAACCACTGAACTACTAATATATAGAACAGAATTAATCTATATGTAGTCTTAAGAGGGACAGCTTTTTTAGACTGTTCCCCTGTTTCTTATATGCACCAGGTAGATCTACCGTACAAATTCTTCGGCAGTATGATTATACACATATATCTAATTTTGTTTTAATCATTAAGAATGGGATTACACAAGGCTAGTTGGACTTATCTTACAGAATAGAGTAAAACATTTTCTATGGGGTAACATCCATATTTAAAATGAAACATTAGATTTTATCCTCCTAATTGTGTTTAGGCGATTATTATTATTTTTTGTTTGTATGAACTAGTAACTTGATTATAAATAATAGACTATTATCAATGTCAAAACAATAAATATTTACTGCGAAAATCAATCGGTTCAAATGATAATGAACGTTTAATTGAATGCAGTAAGAAAAGTTTGAATAATTTACTATCAAATAATCCAACTATTTAAGCTCATAGTTTGAAGAATAGCTGTATAAAACTCAAACGTTTCGCTTCGTCATGATGACACTGATTTTGGATGTTCTAGACATTATAGAATTCTGTGGTTTTATTTGTTATCTGATGTTACAATAAAAACTGGTATCAACTTTACTGTAGTTTTCGTTTATTTTATAACTGAAATTCTTCATAGCTCTACTTTAACAGAACTGTATCTTTTGATAGATACTAATCTTGTCCATTTATTTATTTAATGCACAACATTTCTCTCTATGTTTTACAGTATTAGTATTTTATTTTTCTGGTACAATTTTGGTGACTTATTATAATACAACTTATGTGGTATAAACAAAATCAATTAATTCATAAAAACTAATTCATCCTCTGTTAAGCCTATAATTATAATGTTTTACTCTGTCTAATAATGATAATAATAATAATATCTACAAGTAGTCACTAATAATTATCAATAATATGGTGTTCGTTTCATAATTTTTATTAGATTCGTTTCATTAAAACCCTTAATATGTGTATTCTAATGATTCACTCAAATCTTGCTATCATGTTGAGCTAGTTTCATTCCAATTGATAATATTTACTAATTGAAACAATCATGAAATTGACAATGATTCATACATCGATTTATGTTTGTTATCCTTTTCTTTCCTAGTAAAAGAAAGAAAGAGACTACCGGTTAAAGAGTGGTTGAAAAGGAAACAAGTTTACGTTTAGAATAGTTGACTGTTTAATGTTTATATACGATAGATGAAATGTGGCTAGTAGCGGTATCCAGAATGCATGTTTTGTTCTTTCTGAAACTCGTTAGCTACACGTACCTGCATCTTAGAGTTGATGTTCACCCCTACACTTGAACTGACTACCGTCCTCTTCAAATGCCATCACGTTATCCATTTAACTACTGAGTCCACATAGCCACTCACTTGTGCAACAATTATGGATTTTAATTTAATTTGAAATGGTTTGTATTGTCAGGTTGTTGATATGTTTAACTGAAATTTGCACAGTCTTAGTTCGAATATGTTGATCCTGTGAGGATTGTCTATTCTACATGAACTTGTGAAATAATTGCTATATCGAGGTAATCGACACAGTATGTACATATACCAATTAAGACTGATCAAACATTTAATATTTGTTGTCAAAAGCCCCAAATGCCCCGTTACGGCCGAGGGTTGGAAGAATCTGGTCTCCCTCTCGAAGTGCACTCATATAGTCACGTGTATTCAGTCACTGCCTTCTCGTGGTGGGTGTTTTTTTTACGAAATTCAGAGGACGCAAAGCGCATTAATCGGGTTGGTGAATTCGGAGGGTCCATCCAGGGGAGTGGGAAAACCCTGATTCCAAAGCATTGATGCACATGGACTCCAGAATCCTGAAGGAACAAATGGCGTATGAACCAATTGTTCGGGACAGAATACCATGCGACTGCATCTCTTTACGTTGATCCACTTCCTTATGGATTAAACCTTTGGGTCAAAAGCTCGGGGTGTGGCCCCCTAAGAAAACCACCTACTTCGGCCTGAGCACCCGGGAAGTATCACAGCCCACACACAAATCAAGTGACTTGTGTGGCGCATATGTATTCGGTATCCCTATGTACCAATATATATGTGTTCTAATAACAACAACAAGGGACCAAAAAAATCAATTTAGTTGAAATGGTCGACATGACTTCTAATAGACTGAATAATTCAAGGAATATGTTTAAACATTATTTTCCATATATTTACTACAGTTTATAGCTGAATTCCAAGAAGTCACTGTATAGACAGTAGTTAATTTTAACCATTGTCTCCTTTTTTATCACCGTAAGTTGTATTTTTGTCCTTGAGGAATGAATGTATTGATTTTAATGTAACCCATTTCACGAACATTAACTTACTGTTTAATAAATGAATAAATCTATTTATTGAGAATGAAGTCTACTGAACTACGTAGATTTTTAATAATACCTACTTTGTGATAAATTGTTTGAAGATTAATTCGAAACCTTGTATAATTCGAGTTTTACTGATAGTAGTATAGATTTAATGTTTCTTTGTATATCACAGTTGTTCAATAATGTACGTAGTCATGCTGTTTGTATACTTAGTGATCATCTGATAAATTTTTGCTGAACGTATTTTGTATATATGTTAAATAGCTATTTCAACTGCATCATGAGTACTGAACACAATTCATATTGTTTACTGATTGCTTCAACATTTTCATTTGTTGCTGTACTTTTGAAAAATTGATACATATCTGATGGCAACACTAAGGTAGGTGTCTAACACTCACAGGAATCCAATTTTTAGAAAATCTGGGTTGTATAGCTGTTTTATTATAGATTATGATTTCTATTATATTGATCAACGTGAATATATAACCATGAAAACATCTCTTAAATAACCATTTGATTTATTGATATTTTGAAAGCTATAAATGAGAGCTGCAAAGCATCTCTAGTTCGATGTCGTTAAAACTAATAAGGTACGGTAATCTTTAAATTTTTACTTATTCCACTTTAGAATTCACAAGCATGGATGATTAACTTAAAAACCCCGTTAAGATTTGATGCACATTATCTTTCTTACTGATTCCATGAAGTATCATATATTTATTTATCTTATCTGACTAATTGTCAATATATATTTAGTTTTATTTCCTCATAACTTTAACTCATGCTCTGCGGTCATCATTGACACAATGTTGATGAATTTCTGTAATAATTATTGTCAATAGCAGTGAGTACAGATCCATCCACACACTAATTATATCAATAGTAAATTTATGTCCATCCATTAGTCCTGGAATTAAGTTCACCGTATGATTTCACACGGAGTGAAATACAAATCTAAGTGCTAAATTATTGTTTAACGTAATTTCAAATATGTTAAATCGTTAATAGCTTTCAAATATATTGGAAGAATCTTTTACTTAACGATATTCTAATTTTTTTATAGAATATATAAATCATTTGGAAGATAATTTTCGAGGCTACTTGCAAATAATTTCATTAATTTTGTTTTTACTATATTTTATGTTAATTAATTAAAAGCAATTAAATCTATTGTTTCTAAATGATTTCCTTTGTATTTTTAGTGTGGTACAGAAAATAGAGAAGTTATTCATTTCTGGTATGTTGCATGGCCTGATCATTCATCCCCTGAAGCTACTGCTTCTGTACGTAGTTTAATTGAACTTGTACAAGCTGTTGAAACTTGTCGTAAAAATGCTAGTTCATCGTCAAAAGTAAAATCAACGGATAAATCTGAAATCGATTCAAATAATACTGATGAAGATGTAAATTTTACATATTGTAAAAAATCACCAGATTCTCAATGTTTTCATGCTTCATCCTATCGTCCTAAACTAATTCCATCTTTACAAAAAATGGAATTAGATCAGTTGGATCATGAAGATGCACCAATTATTGTACATTGTAGTGCAGGTCTTGGACGTACTGGCTGTTTTATTGCTTTATGTATAGGTTGTGAACAACTTGAAAAAGAAGGTATGGTTGATGTATTAAAAATAGTTAGTCGAATGAGATTAGATCGTGGCGGTATGGTACAAAGTAATGAACAATATGAATTTATTCATCATGTTCTAGCTGCTTATCCATTAAATAAAAAAAACCGTCAATGTGAATCATCCTCATTTACCTGTGATGTAAAACATAGTAGTAGTTAGTTAATGGTTTATTTAATTACATAATAAATTTTGCTTATCATTGTTCCTACATACTTTCATTTAATCAAGTCGTATTATGCACTAAATTTCTGTGTAAATACTTAAGCTTCCATGCATATACTTTTTTATAGCATTTATTGTTATTTCATTAGCTAAATGTTAGCAATTATTCCGAGATTAGAATGCAATATATAATATATATATAACTTGTAAAGATACCTTATAAATAAAACATCATTATCAAAGTACTACAGTAAGATTATTGATTAATATTCTATAAAACTGCTCCATTCTACTCGTTATTTACTGTTATTGGTAAAATGAATGACTTCCATTCATCATTAATTGACCATTTACGCTGTGTTTGATTTTATTCATTCAACTATTCGAGTTAAATTAACCAATCTTAAATCAAATGCAAAATTCCACCCACTCCCTATCTGTCTGAATCTGATTGGCTAATATTTGTATGAATAGTAATTATCTATAGTGGATTATACTTTTCTATACTAATACTAATACTATTGCTGCGTATTATTCCTATATGAATAGGAAAGCTAATAAATACTTACCAAAAGATGTACTCGTTATACACGTTTTTACGAATAAAATAAAATTAACAGAAACTATCTGACCCCTTGACTTTCAGTTATATATTCAATGTAAATTTAGTCAATTTTTTTAATCTGTGAATATGTATACAGTATATATTAGTCTATGAAGATATTGGATACGAACTTTACTCTTCTTTTTTTATTTTACGTCTATGATATTCAAAACGTATCAAATACAAAATTATTATAATTTAATGTTTATTTATAAAATTGTTTGTCTTATTATCAAAATAAGAAATTGAAATTTTTCTTGGAAGAAATCTTAAATTTTCTGTTTAAAACTTAGCAATGAATGTTGCTTTTATATTTTGTGAATAGAAATTATTTCAAATTTTGTGTATTATTTATTATCCAGAATATATATACTACAATGGACTAATGAAGTCCTATGAATACTAAGCTACTCCATCAGATTGATTAATAAAACTCAGTTGTATTTGAGAACTTAGTCTTATTCTCCAATGTGTTTGGCAATTGTTAATTATTTATTCTCCCTGATTCTTCTCTCTTCACTTATCACAAAACATTTTTTCCCTTCTCCCTGATTAAAGTAAACCCACACACTCTTCGTATGATAATTTAATAGTTACATAAATATTAGTTGGTGTGTACAGATAATGTAAAAAAATGCCAGGCAATTTGTAGTAACAAAGGAATTTTTTCTAACGAAATTTATTCATTTGATTTCCTATGATGGTTACACAAATCTACATGATGTAATTTGTTTTATTTCGCTACCAGTCAGTTTAATTCATATGTTCATTAATCGATTAGAATACACAATATATCTATGGGAAAAATATGACGTTTTTTGCCACATCTTGCGTTTCATCACACTGTAAAAAATGTTTATATTCATTATTTTACATTTGTTTGTCATGGTGTGAGTAATTAAACATACACACATATATACATATGCATAAATATATATACTTACATAAAAATGAGCAAATTATTATTAATACTGTCTCTGATAATAATATTTAATTATTTCTATTTTTTTATATGACTTATTCTTAAGGAGAGATTTATTTGTTAGAATAATAGAAAAACAAGAGTAATTTTCACTTTGCATCTCATTCATAGCTGCTGTGTGCTGCGCATTTTGTTTTATCTTTTATCTACTTGTTTTTTTTGGCGTTTTCATTTTTTGCCGGTCTCTCCCGTTTTATTTTTACTATACGGTTGTTTCTGTTTTTTGTTTCGTGTTCTTTCTCTATGTTTTCGTGGTTCTGTTCTTAAAATAATAAACAAGGAAAGAAGAACTGGAAGCACAAAATAAGTGGGAGACAAAACAAAAAAATTAGATTTATCATTGATATTGAAATTTGTCTTTCAATTTGATCTTTTTTAGTTGTTTTGATATAATCGATTACTTGAAGGAGGGTGAGAAAGGTGATAGTCGTATATAATTGTTGTCTAAGTTTCTTTGGGCAACTTAGATGTACAAAAAATGAGTTCACTCTTCAAGGCTTACTTCTTATCACGTGTAGATTAATTGATTCATTTGACCACAAATAAAAATGGCCATAAAGCGAAAACAAACTGTTAGATTATGATTTTTTTACCAGCCAAGTGATGGAAAAGTTCGAAATAATTTAATTCTATGTGATTATCAATAAATTGTAAATGTCGTTGTTCATTTTGTTTTCTTACGTAATATATTACTGATACACACATAAAAGCATTCATATGACCCACTAAACTAACTTGGTCGGTTAACCAATTTCAATAATGTCATACGTAAATTAATGAGTATAGACGTGTTTAAATATCAGAGAGTATAGGTTGTGGGTTGTAATAAGTTCATATGAAGTGTTTCATTGAACATTGAAGTTCTTGGGAGCAGTTATTCGTTAGTTTCAACTGTTCTTAATCAAAAGTTCTTTTCTAAATTGACCATGATTATTATAATTACTGAGTAAAATTGATTCATTTATTAACAATGTAATCACCTAGATAATGATGAGATATTTTACGGAATTAGTTCTGAAGTGAACAAGCTGATTGAAATTTTAAAACCAGAAGATCAATTGAATATTATTGATCCCCACTCAATAGATGATCAAGTTATGGGACGTATTGACCGGCTTCCCAGTAAATGTACTAATGAAACAGATGATTCACAAAGTTTTGTTTATCATACTGTTATATTTCTCTCTTACGGTTATAACCCAGCTATTCCTATTGCTTAGTATTCTTGGACACCGATTCACTCGACAAGACCCCAAATCAGAACACGGTTGAACAAGAAAGAGATTATATTCCAAATAACAAGGTTAGATGGAAGGAAGAAGAACAATAGGAAAAGCGTTAGTATATTTATAGTTTTTACATGAGAAGATTCTAGAGTATCGACTAATGCTGACTGGATAAGAATTGGCCAATCAGCGTGCACCAAAGCAATCGTGCGTTGAGCATGCTTTAATCCAGTCTATGTCCCGCTAACATATACACTACAACATATACTTTTTAATTATTTGGAAACATCACTCGGAGTATTGAATGGGATTAATTTACCACTTCTGCGTTTGTCTCAAATCCATCAGCAAGCTTAAAACGTCCATTTTAAGAGCCATCTTCAAATAATAATGATGATTCGTCGTATAGCTTTATTGTCACTTAGTATTGTTTGTCGGTAAACATCTCCCAAACTATTTGGCTTCAGAGGTTAGTGATTTTTTCTAGATATTTATTACAGACTTTCATGTCCAGGGTTTATGTTGAAGAAGAACTTCACTGGACCTAATCTGGATGTTTTTTGATTGCGACGATCAATAAAATGCCTTCAAGACTTCCGAATTCTTCTGATTAACAGATATTTGTCATGGAAATCAGATGCTTCTATAGGCTTAACGTAGTTTAACAGTGGAAATACTTTTGCATCAGTTTTCCTACTTACACTCATTTACAAGTATTAAGACTTTATCAATCAAATCTCAGAGTATTCTCTGTAAAAATAAAAAAAGGTGTTCGTTGCACTTCGCTGTTTATTAAAAATAATACACATTCTTCAACTTTAATTCGTGCAAATAGATTGTTCGAATCCTCCGTTGATGTTTAGGACTACAATTAATCATTCTCTTAACATATCTACATCCTGCCGGATCGCCTTTGTATTGCTAGTAAGTCAAGCATTTTAAGCAAAGATGGTGGCTAGCAGTGGAGTCCAGGAGGTGCGCTTCGCTCCATTTGGGACTTGTCAGCTGGGTGCTCCCACGCCGCAAAGTTGATGTGAAATCCGGGACTCTAAACCAGTACCGTCCACTTCAAATGTCCTGGAGTGAGCACTAAGTTTGATGTGCTGATGTATCCGGCTGACGAGTCCTAAATAAGACGAAATGCACGTTCTGGATTCCACTGTTAGTGGCTATCCATCCTTGCTTGAAAACCCACAATCTCTAATAAAATAGGCGTTTTTTTATTGAACTCAAAGATCAGCACAATGAAGCAAACTAAAATTCTATCTACTTCTATATTCGTATTATTAAAAATTTCCAATAGTTGGTGCCCACCACTACGAATATTTTTAACAAGACAATTCATGATTCCGTAAAAGCCACAAAAGAAAAAGTGGTTTTAATGACAATAAATTCATTCAGAGTCTCACTGAATAGTTATTTTTCCAACATAACAAAAAAAACAATGAGACTGGATTGGAACACATGTAATCGAACCTCAATTACACGAGAGCTATTGTATTATCTAGATAGAGAATTGATTATTTTGCCTAGATTGTCTATATTGGACCCATGACATTCTGTTAACCAATAAACACGATGATAATGAGATAGAAATATTGATCGGCTATAGATGAACGATGTAGTTCTGCGCTTGCTGTCTCGAAATCCAGAATAGAACACAGGACAACAGGTAAATAACTTCTAATTGTATGGTTTCGAATATTTAGCCTTGATTTTTACTCAGTCATAGTAGTTCTACTTGACTCTTGTTGTTCATATAACAAAGTCACAGTTAAACTAATCAAACATAATAAATTTTCGAAAGTTGCTTTGCCAGAACAAAGAAGAAAGAATCTTGTGGTGAGAGGTGTATAAACTTATTATTACCAGATTATTGCAACATCAAAACCTTTATGACGAATGAACTTACACTTTTTATTGTGATCGAACAAGTTCCACACATCAACAGTATTATCCAGAACAACACAGCTTCCTATAGAGTTTTACTGAGAAAGTTTGAAGTGTCATATTAAGATTTGTTGTGGAAAATCATTTTAGCGACTTGTATACATGAATGTTAGGCAATATCACTACATATTGACGTTGGACACCGGGAAAACCAATAACTACGGGCTTGAATTTGAAATGCCTAAATGACGATCAAATGTACACTGAAAGTGTCTGTATTAGATTGGCCATTCAAAGGCTTGTAATACAGTAAACTGGAGGTAGACTGGAAACGATCGCTAATACATTGAGACGTGTAGAATGTAAAGCAACTAATCAGCAGTAGTATTTTGCTTAAAATTACCTTCCAATGTGATGAAAATTGTTAAATCGAAGATGAATGAACCACAACGATAATACTCTACATATTTACTTATATACGTCTGATACTCCTCCTGGATAAGCGTGTGCCGCCCACCAAGAATATT